GTTGGCGAAACCTTTCTATTCGGCCGGGGTTGGGAGATGACAGCAAGTTGCCGACTTTTGTTGCGGATGCATTGTGCCATTTGGGGGATGCGGATGGGCCGGAATGTGGCCGCACGTGGAGGTCACTGGGGACGTGAGTACCGTCATTGGGGTGCACAGAGTGTCTTTTGACAGGGCTTCGATTCGGAGACAGCTACACTGAGGTTTCCAACGGATACTGTTGGTCTGATCGATCTAGTCCTGTTGACTTCGACCAAAGCCCCCCCCAATTCATACAAGGTCTGACAATTCTCAGTCGGCATTCCAGTCATCGGCGCCGAAGGCTTTCATCACCTCGGCAATGTTATCCGGGGCTGACCCGGCCTCCGCAGCCCCTCGCAAGTCCTTGTTCATTGTTTGAATGATGATCCTCTTATACGACGTCAGCGCAGGCGTACCATTATCAGTCACCTCCAGAACCAGATGAAGTAGCTGGCCCCGAGCTACGGGGCTCCCCGTGGTGAACCTGTCAAAGCAGCACTGTTCCGGCGGCGGTATGCACACCTTGACGCGTCTCGCATCGGGGTCCAGGTTCTCGATCTCGAGATTCGAGACCTCGAAACGCACCAGCCATTGCGTGGCAGTCGGCTCCTTGTACTGCCACCATTTGAACGACAGGCTGTCACCGTCTGGGTCGTAAGAGCTACTCGCATCGAACACGATGTCCTCGCCAGCCTCGATCTCGAGCTCCAGAGCTTCATGGCCCCACGAGTCATTGACGCAGAGAACGGGGTGGTGGTTGGCGGCCTTGAAGTCAGGATGCAAAGACCACTGGATCCGCGAGGCGAAATCGTTTTGGAACGTGTCCCTCCACCGCCAGATCGTCGCCTGGTTTGAGGTGTACGTCTTGCCGTCGGCTCCCACCACTGCGTCCGTCGTGTCGCTGTAGTGTCTGCCGGACAGGCCCCTGCCGCTGAGATCTGTCAGGGCGTAGCGACCGCCCCAGGAGCCGTACTCGGGGTGTTCTCTGACGCCCAGTCCGTTTTGGATGAGATACAGGAAGGTCGGCGTGTCGCCCTCGGGGATGAAGATGTAGTCCGGGTACGTGGAGCCGAGGGGACCAACCTGGATATTCTTCTTGATCCAAGATTTTGTCATCTTCGAGAAATCGGGCCCGCCCTGGTCAAAACCATAATATCTGTCGCCCGCGATGCCTGTCCATGCTGCGAGGCCATATTGGTTCCACGCATGGACGGAAGAGATGTAGAAGATGTCGGGAAACTCGGCGCGAATCCACGCCGAGGTGTCATCCTGGTCCGAGATTGTGTAGACCCTCAGCTTGGCTCGTAATGATGCCGCCTTGTTGGCGGGGTATTTCTCCTTGATCGTCAGGAGCACCTGTGCGAGGACGTTGGTGCCACCCCATACAAGCACCCATAGTGGTCTATCGGAAGAGGCTTCAATCCTGTCGAGAAGCAGTTGGTGGCCGTCCGTGAGTGGTCTGTCTGTCCCAACACCCTCAAAGCCGTATACCTGAAGGACCACCCAGGTCAGTCTTTCACGCAAGAAACTGAGAAGGAAGGGAGAAACATACTGGAGGGCCTGACTTGACCAAGCTGCGTAGTGTTTCTGCGGTCGGGTATGGGTGGTCGGGATGTGTATGATTATTCAGGTTGTCGACTACGCCGGCGTAACCGTCGATGATCTTGTGCATGTCTTGAGGGCAGACCTTCGTCTTCATCCATGTTGACGTCACAGCAACGATGCCTTCAGTGTCAAACTGATTGGAGTAGAGAAGGAACCGCACGAGCGACTCTGCATCGTCAGGTTCATTGGAAATGTCGGACAGCACGAAGACGCGCGGCTTGTCGAGAAACGACTGAAGGCTCGAGGTACTCATGGCAAGATTCCTACTGACGGGCTTTGGGCTTCAAAGGGCGTGGTGGCGCGTTGGTCCAGCTCGGCTCTCGGGTCAATGGTGTTTATGAAAGAAACATCTTCAAGATAACGCAGTCTGAGGAAGAAGAACCGAGCTGAACTATTGTCAAGGCCGACGAGAAGGGCAATCAGAGGCTCCATCACCGGTTCGGACTTAGACAACACCCAAATGCCAACTTAAACCTGATTCGGAATTGTTAAGCGCACCGCGAAGAGCCGGAAGTCGTCCTCCTTCAGTGTCAAGGTGAGATTCTCCGTCGTTTCTCCAGTTCTCTCCACATGCAACCCCGAGGGGCCCCACCATCTGTACTCCAGGTGTACGGCTGGTCCTCCGCATGATGCCTGGTTTTGCTGGGTCACCACGTGGCGTTCTAGAGTCCCGAGCTGGCTCCCGATCAGGAAGTGCGAAGCACGATGGCATGATGGGTTGTTAATATGCTGGCCTCGTACCATGACTCGCCGCCAGACGGTTCACTGCGAAAGATCAGGTACCCAACGTAGCGTGAGAAGCCTGCTCAAGATCTCCACTACTCCAAGCCGATTCTGGAGCATTTTACCCCAGTTCCGATTCCCCAGACCGAGCAAGGCACGCTAGAAGGACCGAGTCATTGTTTCCGAACCATGGCCGACTGGCGAGCCCTTCGCCGAGCCAGCTCACATATAAACCCATCGCCTCCACCTCACTACGATGGTGTTTAGAATCTTGGAGTCCATCTCACCGACAGTTGTTTGCCCGACTCTATTGTTAGCCACAAATTCAAGCTTGCAGGCATCATGGAGCTCGACAAGAAGAACGACCCCGATATGGTGGTTGACGAAGAGGTGACGGACCAGCTCGCCCGCCTTGCCAACCAGGAAGAACACGACATCGGCAAGCGAGAGTCCTTCAGGCGTTTCCCAAAGTCCTGCCTGTGGTGTCTCTACGCCGTCTTTCTCGTGCTGCTTGGCAGCTTCGAGAACCAGGCCGCCGGCGTCATCCTCGGCATACCAAAATTCCGCGAGGACTTTGGCCACCAGTTCAATGACGAACATGTCATTGATGCCTCTTGGCAAGCTGCGTTCAACGGTGCTCCCATCGCTACGTGAGTTCTTTCCGGTCCCCCAAAAAGCCTTGATGTTCCAGAATCTGACTCAATACCCCGTTACCAGGGCCGTCATGGGTGCTCTGGGAGGTGGACAGCTTGCAGACTGGATCGGCCGTAAGAAGGTCATCATGATGGCACTTGTCATTGCTTACGGTGCTATCACGATGGAGCTTGTGGCTACGAGTCCCGCCTTGTTCTTGGGGGGCAAGCTGCTCAATGGGTTCTCCATTGGCGCCATCCAGGGAATTACAGTGACCTACATTGGCGAGGTTCGTTCATGAGCCAAGATCTGTGCACGTCTGGAAACATGATACTGATCAAATCTCGTCTTTTCAGGTCACCCCTCTTGCGCTGCGCGGCATATTCACCTGCCTGTCTGCGCTGTCATACACAATCGGTCCCCTCATCGTCGCCCTCATCGTTAACGAGACGGGCGACCTCCCCAACCGATGGGCCTACCGCGCCGTCTTCGTCGCACAATATGGCTTTGCTGTCATTGCAACCCTCTTTGTGGCCTTTATGCCAGAATCGCCCTGGTGGCTGGCATCCAAGGACCGTGACGAGGCGGCCCTCAAATCCCTGAACGACCTCGGCCACCGTGGGGACGAGGGTCAGAAGCGTCTTGCCGCCATCAAGCACACCCTGGCACAGGTCAGCTCTGAGATTGCAGGCGCTACGTATCTCGAGTGCTTTCGCAAGTCTAACCTTCGCCGCACTATCGTCTCCATTGCTCCCCTCTGCATTCAGTCCCTTAGCGGCGTGATGTTCGCCGCCGGATACAGCACCTACTACATGCAGCGAGCCGGGTACAGCACTGCTATGAGCTTCAAACTCCAGATCACCCAACAAGTCTTGTCGACCATTGGCAACGTCATGTCATGGTGGCTGATCGATCGCGTCGGTCGCCGCAGCCTCACCTTCTGGGGGCTCTTTGTCCTGACCATCATTCTCTTCGCCACGGGAAGCCTGGCCATCTTCGCCGATCGTGAGCCCGGCGGACCTGAGGCTCGTGCTACCGTTGCTTTCATTTTGATCTACTGCTGGTGGTACAACGCCACTATCGGCGCCACGGCCTACACTGTCCTCTGCGAAGTGTCCACTTCGCGCCTCCGCATCAAGACTATTGCCATCGGTCTTGCGGCACAGAACAGCTTGAACGTCATGTTCTCGTTTGTGCTTCCGTACCTCTTCAACCCGGATCATTTGAATCTGGGAGCCAAGATCAGCTACATCTTCGGAGTGCTGGCCATCATCTCACTCGTCTTCTTGTGGTTCTACCACCCCGAGACGGCTGGAAGGACGTATGAGGAGCTGGACGAGATGTTCATGAAGAAGGTCCCCGCTCGGAAGTTCAAGTCATATCAGCCTGACACTGCGGCCATGGGCGAGGTCGTCAAGGCTGCATTTGAGAAAGAGGAGCTGCAGGGCGAGGTTACTCATCGTGCTTAAGCATTGCGATCAAGAGACGTGTCTTGAAAACAATGCAGAGCAGGCCACATAGTAGTCTTGCTGAGTAGAGATAATTCATGGAATTTCACATCGCAACAAAGTCGAGACGAGTTGCTACAATTATGATTTGTGATATCCATGTGGCGGCCCAACAGACAGTCTTACTGTCTGGGGCTCATTCTTTGAAAGGATGTGCACTCCAAAAACATCTCTTCATATCAACTCTTCAATGTTGTTGGCCTTGTATCAGGAGACACCTGCGGAGCCTTATTACATGGGGGCTCACGGGTTGATATAGCGGGTTTGAGACCACGGAGACGTGTAGACAGGGGTTGAACAGGGCCGAATTCCAAATTTATTCCTATCACATATCTAACAACTGACTGCGAAGACCAGCTACGGAAGACTTTCGCTCTGGTCGTGATCCCTCATTTTTCACTCTTGATTGTTAACGCAGGCCACAACAAACAAACACAACCAACGCCGATGGTTCGCACATCTCAATATATTCAAAACGCTTGCATCTAGAACTGATAGGAACCCAAATCTTCATGACCCCTTTACACTCGACGCCAGCAATGTCCTCACTGCTTCGACCAAATCCTGTCTGGCAACTAGCTGTCCTTTATCTTTCTGTGCAGCATTTCTGTCCCCGACATGAAGTTGCTTGACACGCACCTGTCCCGCATTCAGCTCCTCCTGACCAAGTATGACAGCGACGGGCGCGCCCTCTGAGGCACTGAATTGCTGTTGCGGTTTGGGCCTGACTTTGGCAGTAAACTCGGCCTGGATACCTGCATCCCAGAGCTGTCGAGCCACCTCCATGCGCTCGACCAAAAGGCCTTCAAAGTCCTTGCCCCCAAAAGCCATGACGTAGACATCGGCCTCGCGACCCAGCTCGGAGGCTTTCTTGTTCTTGCGTCGCTCAGCCAAGAGGGTGAAGATCCGATCAATTCCAAATGATATACCTACGCAAGGCACGGGAAGTCGGCCGTACATCCCTACCAGGTTATCATAGCGACCTCCGGCAGCAATGCTTCCGACCTGAGTGGACTGGCCATCGATACGGTCAGGGGCGATCTCGTAGATCAGCCCGGTGTAGTAATCCAGACCCCTTGCTAGCGATAGGTCGAATGAAACCTTGGAACCTACGCCCATGGCTTCTATGTAAGTAGCAAGCAGTTTGAGGTCGGCTACACCTTCTTTCACATTCTGATTCATGATCAGGTTGGCGTCTGCCTCCAGACTGGAGAGTATCTCGCGCATGGTGCCACTGCGCTGCACATAAAGGCCCACGTGCTCGGCAGCCTCTTCGGAAAGGCCTTTCTCGATCATCTCTTTCTTCACTTCGTCCCATGACATCTTGTCCAGTTTATCGACAGCGGAACTGATGGGGCGAATCTTATCATCTGGCACCCCGGCTACTGCGAACAAGCCGTCCAAGATCTTACGGTGGTTCAGTTTGATAGTGATGCGCATATCGAACGCCTGAAAGACCTCGGCAATGATGCGCAGGATCTCAGCGTCGGGAATCATGGGATCGTAGATGCCCGCAATATCGAAATCGCACTGATAGAACTCGCGAAGGCGCCCGCGGGAGACGGCAGGCTGGTCACGGCGATACACTTTGGCGATCTGATACCGCTTGATGTGCTGAATGTCACTGCGCATGGCGAGCCAACGTGCGAAGGGAACGGTGAGATCATATCGTAGGGAGCAAGCTTCGCCGCCCTGGTCCTCGAGGTTGTAGATCAGCCGTGAGTCCTCGCCGTATTTCTCAGACAGAATGTTCTGAAGTTCGAAGACCGGCGTGTCCAAGGGAACTCCACCGTGGCGTTCAAGCACGTCGCTGATTGTTTGGCTGATGTACGTGTCAGCGAAAAAAAATGGATCGCGAGATACTCTCGGCGACACGTACAAAATGTGATTACGCAGTAACAGATCCTGACCAACCCAGTCCCGGGTACCTTTGGGTGTTTTGAGCTGGGTCCCTTGTCGAGATTGTGCTGTATCTTTGGTGGCCATCCTGCCAGGCGGATCGTGAAATGGAGCGGGGTAGGGTTGTGTAGAGAATCAGGATGCTGATGTTGGGTGTGCCGATGTTGGTACTCATCGAAGCTTTATAACAACCATGTGACTCATTGCACCCCCAGCAAGAGCTGTATGACCCTCTCCAGACAGCACTCTTGGATGTCGATCACAGGGATGGAATTGTTGAATTCCCTATCGGGTCATTTTACAGGACGCGTATTGATTGTTATCATGTCCGATGTCCCCAACTGCCAGGCTTTCCAGCATCGAGCCTCGTCCGCATTCTTGGACATTTTCGACTTACTGCGATCGCCTTTGACAGATTGTGACGCATTTGCCTTTTTTAAGACTATGTAACCGACTGTTGAAATATCGAGACAGCACTACAGAGCCATCTCGTCGCAGCGTGTTTTCCGCCGGTATTTCAAGCTTCAACTGCTGCACTCGTCCCTTCGCTACCTTCTATCTTTCGACCCTTTGCAGGCGAAGCATTGCTCCTTGCCACTCACTCCAACTGAGGCAACGCCCACTTGCGCATCCACTCAGACTCAAGTACCTTGTCTATCGTCAACCTCCCCTCCGGCCGAAACTTAAGCATGTCCCGCATCAAGTCAAGGATCGCTCGCGCCTCCTCATCCTCAAAAGTCCCTGCCGCCTCTCGTTTTCTTCTGTATTTTTGCACAAATTTTTCAAATGCCTCCTCGAGAGGGGGCCAAGCTTCCCGATCTCCCACGGGCCGACATGGGATTTCTCCTTTCCCGTCTCCTTCCGCTGTGTTCGCTCGTTCCCAGTGTTTCCGCCAGCTGGAGGGAAAACTTTGGGAACCTAGAACGTCGATCTGCTGAGCCACAATCTCGTCCTGGGTTTCTGACTCGCTGAAGATGAATTTCATACCCAGTATTTCCCAGATAGCAGTCCCGAGACTCCATATATCCGACGAATAAGACAGCGGCTTGTTGGGCTCAAAAAGAGCCTCCGGTGCTCTTTTTGCCAGGGGCGTGTTACAGTCCTTACCGAGACGCTGCTCTGTGCCTGGTGTGAAGGCCTCGCCAAAGTCGCTGAGCACAAGGCCACGCTCATCAGATAGAGTGAATTCTTGAGCTTTTTTCCCGAGGTACAGGGGTACGACGGCGCGAGGCGGTATGTTGGCCGGAAGCGGCCCTCCATCAACACGGGTAATAGGAACAGTCTCAGGCTCGCCATACTTCTGCCTGAACTGATCGATTGTGAGTTGGTCGAGTGTCGATGGCAACTTGACCAAGACATTCCGAAGATGTATATCTATAAAGGGTTAAACTCGATTGACCGGGCGGGTATCGGCTTGACAAACAAACCTCCGTGCACGTAGTCGTGCGAATGTACGAAGGCGACAGCCACGGCCAGTTTTGCAGCAAGTGCCCGAGCGACCTGAATAGGGAAAAGGCGACTGAAAGATGCCTCTTTCAAATTCCCTTGCGCAGGAGCCATCACGTAGCATGCATGTGTTCCGTTGGGGCCTTGAACATCGAATTCGTCCAAAATGCTTGGTATGGCGTCACAAGTATCAATACCTGTTGGGGCAGCATGAGATGCTGATCTTGGACGAGTCAATGCGCGAAGAGTTATTGGCTCGTGTCGAGAGAGCGCTGGATCAGCAACTCCGACTTTGACAGCCACATAGCGTCGCAGTTGGTTGTCCTGAGCGAGCCATATAGTTGAGTAACCCCCAAAGCCCAGCTTGTCTACTACGCGGTAGCGACCGTGGAGCAAGTCGTTGATCATGACAGGATGGTAGCCACCAGGCACATATTGTTCCAGCCGCTCGACACCATCAATCCAATTGTACTTGTGCGATTGATTGTATGACCTGGTCGAGAAGGGCGACCTAGAACAGTTGCTTGCCGTCGTGCGCTGTGAAGATAGTGACGTGAAAGAAGATCTCGAATATGAGATTTGGAAAAAGACATTTCGGAAAGGAAGTAGAGAGTGTGAACGACTCGCTAGGCAATGATTAGCTGCATCTATTATGGTATGTGGCATTGTCAAGCGAACGGAGAGTAAGTGTGTAGTGGTTAAACTGAGAAAGTATAAGCCAGCCTCATGTGGCGGATGACAACGTAGATCGGAACCTGAGGGATGGCACGGTGCCTGAATACACGAGATGGTTGCTGAGTCAACAAAACTGTCGGACTCGTATCCATCCACCAGATGACCACACACCTCTCTGGATTCGCTGCTCAAAGACGACCAACTGCACCTAGGTACCTTGAATTCAATAATATATTTACTAAATGCTAGGTGCTAGATCGAGAAGATAAGGTCTAAGAAATTCATGTAGAATTCTTTGCTGCCGAGGACATCGGCTTGTCTCGTGATAATTGTCTACGGAGGCCGTGATTCTTGAATGAATCTAGGGTTGAAAAATCATGTCGTTTGTCTTGGCCTTTAAGTATTTCTGTTGCCTGGCCTGCTGTTTAAAGTTCTTACGATGGAGCAAAGTCCAATAAGCATTTGCCTGTACCGAGGTCTGATACCTCTAGAATAAGAACGGCCACCTTTTGCTTTGGACACGCTTCTACTCAAGATCAGGAGCTGGCTACCGAACATTCTTGGTTCGGGAGAACCTCATCTCAATTATCGCAGGATGTTCCTTCCATGAAAGCCCCACTATATGCCCCCAACTGATGATCTTAGCCCGCCCAGAAAGCGACGAGGTTGAGCTCGTGTGGCGGCTCCAAGCAGCAAGCATCGGCAAAGATATGTGAAGCAAAACCGAGGCGCAATTTCGAGCCAGCGCCAGGTATAAAACAGTGACTCCTCGGAAACCACCCGATAGTAGCATGAAACCTATACGTTATCGTGTTTTGTTCAGGGCTGAAATTTTGAGGCAGTAGGTTAACACCCCGAGATGAGAAGTCGCGGTAAAACCGAGGGCTGCGGCGCGCTGAGTTGTCCAAGATGTCAAAATCCGGCACCAATTCCGACAATCTCAGGTGCCGACCCATGGCCACGATTCGACTGCCACTAATGAGAGACTACCTATGTTGGACTATACTCCTCATTTGATCTCAAGTGTTTGCAAGTATATGGCTTGACTGGATGTGTTGCATGTATTGTGCCGCTGTGTACCAATCGGAAACGGCAATGCCCTATTGCGAGCTCATATTTGTCATTAAGAAATAGCTCTACTGCCCATGACCCTCGTAAGTCCGATAGCGTCGGAAGTCGTCGTTCACGCGGCGTCGATGATCTAGGCACTATTGTCTGGGTATTTCATCCAGAACCTTGTCGTGTATTCTCAGACACAGCGATGTGGTTGACGTCTTTGGACCTTTGATATCGCTATAGCCCTGTCGAAGGCCGAGACGCCGGAGACTTCGGAGGACATAACGTAGGTCTCACCTGAAGCATCTATACACAGAAGGTCCCTTCGGAATGTCCAGGCCGCTGTCCGTGAGATCCAGTCTGTATACCCCGTAGAAGCTTCCCTAAGCTTGGTAGGGTCCAGCAGTTCGGTTCTGTGCTCTGGCGTCTTGGTCACCATATGTTGCCATGCACGTGAGTTAGCCCTTTGATGAGACCTCAGCATGCCTAGCCAGGCAGATGGACGGCATGGAGGCGACACAAGGAAGGGCTCCGAAAGCCAAAGCGCGCTCGAGGTATCGTCAAGGGTCGTTAATCAATCATGCAGCCTACCTACCTTACTGTACTCTCAACCACCGTTTGCCGCTGCTCGTAGTCTGAAACGGCTGTGCCGAGGTTCCTGTTCCTGGATGAGGACCCATTTCTACCAGCATCAAGCTCCCGGAGCCAACCGAAAGCACTCTGAAAACTTAAAATATAGGACGAGCCGCGCGGAATCGCTCCATCCAGGAGTGCCGGCAGCCCGGATACATGCCCGACCAATCCGAACTCCCTGTCGGCTTGGCTGAGGCTCAGCAAACTGCAGCGCTTCACTGTCATAACACACGAGGAGGCAGCAGCAGGCGCAGATCCCGAGCCTATTTTCCGAATGATGCTTTGCACCGCCGCATCCGAATGCCACTCTCCTGGGACCCCGAGTCTCGGACTGAATGACTGTTTGACAGGCGGCTTTTGCCCTCGAGTGTGTGTTGTACGGCTCGAATCGGCAACTTCTTACCTGAGGAAAACAGTCCAAGGTCTCCAGATCTGGGCATTCCGCGCGGCCGAGGGCCGTCTTCTCCTCAGCACGACTTCGGGCAAGACTCCAGCGACGGGTGCTAGGCTTCAGGCGAATTGGGCTATTTCTCCCGCGCCACCCGACAGCTGTTCAGCCAAATGGCTCCGCATTGAAGCGGAGCACTATATTCAAATGAATGGGTACTTTGAGGGGACCCCAGACTCCAAAGCGCTCCAGGCCTCAGCGGGGCGGCGTGGCGACGGAGATGATGGGTACCCGACTTTCAGACGACGGGTACGCCCGAGCACATGGTCTGGAACCACGAGACGAGGCCTGACATGGACCTGGATCCAGGATTCTCACGGCCGTGTGTAAAATGAGAGGGCGTGGAATCAATCAAGACAACACTCTCAGCAAGGTGATCCCAGGCTGATTGCCCACCATACTATCAAGGAGGCTGAAAGGACCCGGCGGGGCAGTCCGATGACTGAAGTTTGAGGGGAATGGCGCGATAGAGAATCTCCGTTGCGCTGAGAGGTGCGCCTGTTCCTCCGGCACTTAGACAGGAAGCTTTCCCCAAGGCGGCAAGTCGCAACACGAGGCGTCCTGCTGCTGGGCTGGGGTACTGCGAGCAAAAAAAACAAGAAGAGGCATGGCGCGGTTTCCCCACACGGCCCCTGAAACTTGACTGCCGAGATCGCTTCTTGCTGGTTCGCGGGGACTAGGTCAACGTGACCAGTTCACGCCAGATTCGTTATGGTGCAGGACGAAGGTGGTGGCGCCCCCCATCGACATCAATCAGGGCCAAAAACCCAAAGTCAGTTAGTGTTCCCCGCGTTCTCGGCCGAACTTCGAGCGAAGTCATGAGCGGGCGAAAGGATACGGACCATGGTGCGCCGAGTGCTACTCCTTGCTCTTGTGACGGCTGATGATGGACTCTATCGGAGAGTCAGTTGACGACGGCGTTGCCACGTACTATGGAGCCGGGCCCGATATATTAAGAGCGCGGATCACCTCGTCTTTCAAGGCTCTTGAGTCCACTTGTTTGCCAGTCGGTATTCATCGTTACTCTTCTGTCCATCATCAAACTGCCCAACATGCGGGCCAATTTTCTCCTCGCCGCCGCGGCCTGCCTCGGCCTGACCTCTGCGCTGCCCACTGAAGACGTTGCTGCCCTCGAGGAGCGTCAGACGCGTGTGCCCACCATCTTCCTCTGTGGTGACAGCACCGTGGCCACCGTCGGTGCCAGCAGCCAGACTCAGGGCTGGGGCGCGTTCCTCCAGTACTCGTTCCAGACGTCCAAGGCCGTTGTCGACAACCGAGCCATTGGCGGGCGTAGCGCTCGTTCGTACACGCGCGAGGGCCGCTTCGACACTGTCGCCAACCTGGCGCAGTCTGGTGACTGGGTCGTCATCGAGCTCGGCCACAACGATGGTGGCTCCCTGTCCACCGACAACGGCCGCTCCGCCTGCTTCGGAGACGGAGAACAGACGTGCAGCACCGTGTACAAGTAGGTGCCTCGTATTGGGAATCAAGGCGTGTTGACATGTTGCTGACGTTTCGCAGCGGTGTCGCCGAGACCGTTCTCACGTTCCCCAAGTACCTGAAGAACGCCGCCAACAAGATGCTTGCCAAGGGCGCCAAGGTCATCATCTCGACCTCTACCCCCAGGAACGTCTGGCAGACCGGCTCGTACGCCTGGTCTCCCAACCGCTTCCACTACTACGGCTGGTAAGTCTTCACAAGCGCAACCGGCGCCCTAGACCGCCTGCTGACAGAAACACCAGGCTCGCCGCCCAGCAGCTCGGCGGCCCCGCCAAGGGCGTCTACTTCCTGCCCCACGGCGAGTACGGCGCGCAGGCGCAGAGGAACCTCGGCGCCTCCACCGTCAACGGCGGCTACCCCGTTGACCACCTCCACCCCGGACCTTTCATCGCCGACGCCATGGCCAAGTCTTTCGTGCTGGCGCTGCGCTGCGGCAGCACCGCGCTCGGCGGCCTCGTCCGCAACTCGACCTCGTCGCTGACCTCGACCTACCTTGGTCCTTGCATTGGCGCCGCCAACTCGACCATCTCTGCTCTCCTGCGCTGAGTCGTTGTGAAGCGGCAGTGGGTTGTGGGCAGAGAGCGCTGTCTCGCAGGAATTTGTATATAGGAGTGATGTACATAGGAAGCAGTTTGTAGTACATATGCAGAGGGACATATGATGAGGGAAAAAACCTAAGCTGTTCATTAGCGGGGCAGAATATGAATGATTGAATGTCATGGTCGCCACTGTTCCCGCATGTGAATACTGTGTCACCTCTGGCCATTCAGATTATGTTCGACAACGCCTCCCACGGTATTCGCCAGCTATGTTGGCGTTCACACCGCCCCGGAAGGATTGCTCGGGGTTCGGGGCCGAAGTGGCCGCCGTGCCTGACAAGTCGTTCTGTCTCGGAGACAAACAGCTCAAAGATCCTTGGCCAAAGATCCCAGACTCTCCTCGTAGGCTGGCAAAGCCCATTTTGCCATCCAGGGCATGCTGAGGACCTCCTCCACGCTCGGTCGTTCGCCAGGCCTCCACGCCAGCATGCGCTTCAGCACCTCGAACAGTGCGCCTTGCTCCTCCTCAGTGACGACCTCCATGCTGCAAGACTCTCTGGGCTCCTGGATCCACTGTTCAAATCGCCTGTCCCAAGACCAGATGTCACAGTCGTTGCTGAGTGGTCTCCCCGTCTGATCAAACCACTTGGCACGTTGATCCCACCGATCCCGTCATTCAGACGGAAGAGGGCCCTGAAGATGGACCTGCTGTGCAGTGATCTCGTCCTGGGGCGTCAGTATGCCGTCTATAAGAGACCTGCGGGCCAGGACCTCAAAAATGACACAGCCAAGGCTCCATACGTCTGAAGAAAACCCAAGAGGTGTTGTTGTCTCAAAAAATGCCTCGGGAGGGCGGATCACGAGGGGTGTGTGGGATTGGAAGCGAGACCTATCGGCGGGCGAAAGGCGACGCCAAAATCGCCGAGTAGCAGCTTTGCTTCACCCAACGCGATTTCATCGCTCGCTATGCCCAGCCACACAGGCGTTATAGCGTGTGGTGGGACTCCGGCTGCTGGATAGGCCTGCTCCTTTTCGAGAGGCACGACAGGCTCGAGCTCCGGGGCCTCAAACTGAGAATACAGCTGCTCGACTGAGAGCGTGTCTAAGGAAGAAGGCAGCTGGAGAAGAATATTGCCGAGATGAAGATCGATAGAAAGAAGGGATGAGACTCTCGGCGGCGACGTTATGCAAAAGGGCACATATCGCCGTGGACACATCCCAGGGAATGAACAGCAGAAATAGCCAGAGTAAGCTGAGCTGCCAGCGACCGGGCCACGTCAAGCCGGAATAATTTCGAGTCGGATGCTTCTCTTGCGTCTGCCAGGCTGCATATGGCCGGTACGGTGACCAAACAGTGGTGAGTGCCGTTAGGTCCATGTAGGCTGAAGCGATCAATAACCATAGGGATCAAAGGTGCTCCGGTTGCGGCATATCCGGAGACGGTGGCCGTGAGCCCTTTTCGTCAGTTGGGACAGGATCTCTTCCTCTTGCCCGTCGGCATCTGCAGTACCGAGTTTGACGGCGGTGTAACTGGAGCTTCGTTCATCAGCAGCAAGCCAGACTGATGCAAAGGTGCCGTGGCCGAGTTTGTGTATGATGCGGTATCGCTCGTGAAGACGGTCGTCAATCTGAACGGCATGATAACCTTCCGGACGGTACTGACTCAGATCCTCCACGCCGTCGATATATCCGTATTCCACGTTGAATGTAGACATTGTTGAGAAGAAGGCTTTTGATGAGATGCGAGGGTCGCGAGCCGCCCTCATGAAGCAAGAAACACCCAGTCGCCGCCTAGATCAGCGTTACGTTTGGCATTGCCGGGGCCACCAGCCACTCACCCGTCTCGGTCGCGCCAATCGCGAACAGGGAAGGCGCTGCCAGAACAATCTAATGGAGTTGAGGTGCTTTGGTGACAGTCGTGGAGGTGAAAGAAGAGGATGTAGTTTGGAAGAATGAAGCTCACTTGTACTGCGGCTTTGCTGCCAAGGGTGGTTGGTGGTGGTGGTGGAGACACCTGCCTGAGAAGTCATGGACAAGGCCACAAGCCTGTATCAGGATCGACCGCTGTGAAAAGTTCACTAGCTAGACCAGTGCATCAAGAGCCTTCAATACAGACAGAAAACGCCATTCACCTTGTCTCCAATTATGCGCTCGGCTTTTCCCACAATGCTGAGCTGCACGACAAGCCCTCTAAGCGTCGAAGGGCTACATTTGAAATGTATTCCGACCCCTGACCTAGATTCTAGTACCTGCGGACCTAGTGGAAGACCTCTTGACTCTGCTCTAGACCACGCATTGACAAGACATCACAGGCACGGCACGGCATGCAGGGCCGTCGTCATAACACTAAAATCGTTTGTTCCATTATCGCTTCCTAATACATGAATGGGCTTGAAACCCCAATGTACGGGCTACATGTCTGCCACAATCAGACAAAGATGGTACCATGCCGACAACAGCTAAATCTACAAATGCCCAACACCAAACGCCTTGATATCGTTTATACCATGCCTTCTGCCAATCAGAGGAGGCGCATGCCATACTCCGATGGCCGGGGAGAAAAAGAAAATCCGACATGGGGTCTGAGATGACGGCCGCCGCCACATGCCATGCCCTATCGTCAACGGCCATTCGTGTGCGTACCGAGCCGGACGTCTCGTGAACGTTCGTGAGAAGCCCTTGAGCGGCCTCGGTCGGGCGACACGCCAAATCTCTAGTCAATTGTCTTGCCGCCGCAGTCCGGGATCTTGATGCCCTTCTTGAGGTTTCGGTTGACGTCGAAAAGACCCCACTTGCTCTCCCACTCCTTGCCGGGCGTGTCGAACTTGGCCTTCCACGGCTCGTCAAAGGCCGAGAACCAGAAGTACGTCGTGTTGGCGATCGACGGACAGACCCAGTCGTCGAGCAGGTCGTTGATGCCTTCAATCGACGCCTCGGCGCCGTTGGTGCACGTCGTCGTCTGGTCGCCGCACCCGACGCCACCCTCGGATGGCCAGCCAATCTCGGACACAATGTTGAGCTTCTTGTTCGTCTTGAACACGGGGCCCACGCTCTGGGTCCAGAAGTTCCAGGACCAGCTTGCCGCGTCAGTCGGTTGCACACCGCCGAAGAGCGGGTGGATGTTGGCGAGCACGCCATCCGAGACGCTGGCGAGCTGCGCATCCCAGTCGCGGCCGAGATCGGACGTCACGACGGGGAGCGAGAAGCCCTTGGTCGTCATGTTCTCGCGGACCTCGGTGAGCACATTGCCGAGCTCGGTCAGCGACATGTCCTCCCTGAAGAGAACCTCGTTGCCGACAATGACGCCCTCGAAAGGCTTTTCGCCGTACGTGTCCATGATGTTCCAAAACTCGGCGAGCTGGCGCGCGTTGGTAGAGGCGTTCTTGTCGAGCCAGACGCCGAGCCAGAGACGCATGGTGTTGTCGATCTCGAGCTGCTTGAACGAGTCCAGAACAAGTTCTGTCTGGTTGCAGTCATTGCCTGTAGCATGTCAGCCAGGCGTCCACGATGGATCGAACGCACGTGAGGAGAGAGAGAGAGAGAGAGAGAGAGAGAGAGAGAGAGAGAGAGGGAGGAGGATGGCTGCTCACCATAGAGTCGGATCGTGTTCGTGAGCTGCGAGAGAACGGCCATGTCGCGCGTGACATTGTTGGCCGACGGAGGGTCGTGGAGGCACTCTGGGTACTGGACGCCGAGGGGTGTGTAGTCGAAGCCGCTGAAGACCTTGTGCAGGTTTGTCGAGTCTTGCAGGTCTTTGATCTCCTTCGAGTTCTTATTCAGGAGGCCGTTTTTGTTCTTGTCGTCGTCAGCACTCTGGCCGCTGCCGGCGCTGCCACCGCTGCTTGACCCGCCGCCGCCCTGTCGTGGGAGAATGGCGCCAAGCGTGCCGCCGAGAATGGCACCAATAATGACGACAATGGCGACGATGATGATGACCCATTTCCACTTCTTCTTGCCTTGGCCCTGCTCCTTCATCCAGTCGGACGACTTTTCGCCATCATACGCAGCACCGCCTCTGCCGCCGCCGCCGCCGCCGTTGCCAAGAACAGGGCCGTAGCCTGAGCCAGAGGCAGAGCCGGCGCTTCGGGCAGCGAGACCGCCGCCGACGGCACCAGCCACGCCTCCTGCAGCGGCAGCGCCACCAGCCACGCTGCTGCCGCGGTCGCTGTGCGACAGACTCAACATGGAGTTGCGCTGAGGGCGGGGGTATCCGAGGCCGTCGTCGCCGTCGTCGGCAATGTCGTGGGGGTTCACGACGCCGAGGTTGTGGTGAGACGTCGAGTAGCCCTGATAGGGGTCGTCGCTGTACGGATCGTGGGCGCCGTAGCCGAGGGGGCTGCGGGAGGGGGTGCCCTGGCCGGGGGCGACGGCGGCCGCGCCGAGGGGCGTCAGAGAGGAGTGGCTGTCGCGGTCGAGGGGCGCGGGACGCTGCTGCTGGTAGTAGCCGCCAGCAGGGGGGCCAGGTTGCGCGAGCGAAGGCTGTGGTGCCGAGGGGTAGCCGGTGTCCATGGCGTCGACGCCCGACTGACGGGCGTTCTGGTCGGCGACGTTGTAGGCGATGCCAGCCATGCCGCCGGCAGCAGTATTGCCAAAGTTGTCGGCGCCCGGTGTGACACCCCAGTTGCCGTGGGTGCCGTGGGCAGGCGGGTAGGGTGCGTGACGGTCGTAGGCGTTGGGTTCGTGGTGGTGCTGTTGCTGGTGGTGCTGGTCGGGTGCGTACCTGTCCTGGCCTTGGCCCTGGCTCTGTGTCTGTGTCTGTGCGTGGTCGCGGTTGTACTGGCGCTCGGCACGGAGCTGCTCAAAGTTGGACTCGGGATGGGGCTGCTCGTAGTGATAGCCCTGAGGCGCATAGTGTTGTTGCTGCTGCGACTGGTGATATGGGTCCGAGTAAGGGTCGTTCATGTTGCGGGCGGGCGAGCGGGAGGGGGAGCGATGGTAGTTGTTGTCGAGGGGCTCCCTCTCGCCGTAGGATGGATCGTCGTAATTTTGGTAGCGACTCATTGTTTCAGTTTCCGCCCAGGGCTGGGTGCAATGTTGCAGAGGAAGCGACAGAGGGATGTCCACAGCCGTGGACAGACAGGCGGGAGAAGAGAGAGAGAGAGACAGAGACGGAGACGGGAGCCTCGACGGCGAGCGAGTGGTGGTGTCGTTGGCGCGGGCTAGAAGAAGCAAGTCTGCGTCGCCGGTGGAGAGAATTCGCGGTCGAGGACGTGAAGACGAAGTCGCAACAGTCGGGCGGCGTAGGTGGTGAGAGCCTCCCAAAACACTAGTCTGCACGAACGACCAGTCGAACGAGGGACGAGGGCGGTGGACGAGAGACAAAGAGGTTGGAGGTCTCGGAGAATTAGGCGGATCGTGCCAAGTTCGGGACTATTTTGGGGAAGGGCAGGAGAGGAGAAAAGGGTAGAGGGTGACGGGGCGCGGGCTGTGTTCGTATTCCCGTTGCGGCTGGGCAGGTGCCGGCGGTGGTTGTCGTTGGTGTGCTGTGGTGTGCGTAGTGGTGTGGTGTATTGCGATTCGTATTCGACCCCTCCCTCTCTTGGGGGGATTGGACCAGGCTGGATCAGGTCTCACGAGCGAGCAGGCTCGAGAGTTGCGAGTGTGGGAATTGATGGGCGCGCGAGGTGCCAAGACGAGGATGTTCTTCAGTTCGTCAAGGGCTATTCGAAACAAAAAACAGTCGTGATGTGGAAAGGGTGAGAGAGAGAACGGGTATTGGGGGGAGGAGCGAGAGCCAAGGACGGCAGAGGCAAAGGCAGCAGCAGTAGCAGAACAGGATTGCGGTCCTTGCGACCGCCGGTGAATGAGTGAGTGAGTGGTCCTGTCTCCTGTTTCCAGGGCTCCCATCCTGGAAGGTGTAGTGTGGGTGGACAACGCTAATCTGGCCCCAGTCTTTGGGCTGGGGGGAGATGGGCGATGGAAGATGATGATGAGATGGGATGCCCGCCGTCGACCATGTCGAGGTGCTGCAGCACCAGGCTAAGCCGGAACAAGGCTGTGATGACCTGGGTCCGGCTGCAGAGGGCAGTACAGGGTTAGGGTTAGGGCTGGTGAACAGTGTGACAGGGGACGAGCGAGGAAGCAGCCTTTAGTGGAGCTGTGGCAGGGGGGCTCCTGGGGCGAGACATGCGCAGCGTCGGCGGGGCCGCTAACGGGGGGGGGGGGGGGGCGCCCTGGGCAGTGGGCAGTGGGCAGTGGGCGGTGGGCAGTGGGCCAAGGGCCCCGGGCTCAGCACCAGTCGCAGTGCTCGCCCCCAGTTGGCGGAACAACGCCCTGCGCCTCGCCGCTGCTCCCACGAGTCGTCCTCACGAAACCCCCTCGTCTGGCCTTTGCCCCGTCTCCTGTTACATCTTGATGAGGGTGTCTGCCATGACTACTATGTATCTGTACTCTGTCGCGACGTGGTGGCATGTCTTCGCAAACCGAGTGATCTTCCGTCATGGCAATTGGAAAATTCCCAGACTTCATTCACTACATCCATCCACCTCGAGCAAAACTCCTCCCTCATCTTCACCTCGTATTCTTTTTCTGTCTCGTCGAGCCCACCGAGTCGGCTTCTTCGTCCCCTGAGGCCATGATCAAAATAGCATGGCACCAGGCACCAGCGTTCACAGCGAGCACGAGCCCCCCCACCTCGCCGACGGCTGGCCGGTGGACGCGCTTCGGCCCTGCTGCCCACCGCACGTGAACGAACAGGGGGACCACTGTATCTACAGCAGAGGTCCGTGTTCGCCCATCCATGCGAGCATCACCAGCCCACCCGCCCGCTAACGAAAAGTCCCCTCCTCTCCACCGTGGACCTGTATTCTCCTTCATCTCAGCCTGCCAGTGACATCATGTCCATATCATTGGCACACACGTTGCCCGCTGGCATGCGCTCATCTCTTGCGACATGCCCCCCACGATGCGAGATGCGATCCAGCACATGGCTCTCGAAGCGCCAAGTGGTTACAAGGGCGTTGCTTGTGTTGCCAAGCCAACTCGATCTGTGTGACCTTGAAACTCACACAACGGCCTTGCGATGTGACGGTCGACACATTGTCAATGGTCAGTCGTCGTGGGTGTGTGAAGCTACAATAGGACTGGTGACGATGCGACATGCCAATCTGGCGGGCGGTTTCTCCGGCCAGCCGTTACCTACAGGCTTTCCACGTGGTTCTGATCTAGTATTTCTTGGGGGGTTTTTTTTTGTCGTGGTTTTCCTCTGGCACATCCAATCCTGACGAGACATACTTTTTTGTTTGTCAGCCCAAAGTCGCATCTGGCGAGGCCCGATTGCCGCCAGATGATCGTTACGCTATCGCTCATCATGCGAAGCAGCACGCATGGGACGATGTCACCCTTGCGAGAAACCATCAAACCACGGGCAAAAGCCTGCTACCATTGGCTGCACGCAACACGGAGTTGGAAAGAAATTGGTATGGAGAGGTAGTACCCGTAGCCCACCCCTGATAACGCCAAGGTGCAGTGCTGGTACGCCCACGAGCACGACGAGCACGACGAGCACGACGAGCACGTCAACTATATTGTACACACACAGCCATGGCCATCTTGCCTTGGCCAAACAAGACCCGTGACCAAAAACCCTTCTACTCGCGCCCAGGGATCGGTATGAGGTTCGACAACATGAACCGCTTCTTGCCCGTCATGGGCTGCCTCGTCCAGACGGCCTCGGCCGTGGCGGGATCAATCTCGCCGGCCGCCTCAACGAGCTCCCAGCCGCCGCGCGCCTCGTCCCAGGCCATGTGCCGCATGAGGATGCGGTTGCCGGCGTCCTCGAGGAGAAACTCGCGCCGCCACAGTCGCAGCCACTGCTCCTGGGGCGTGCCGTGCTCGGCGTTCATCTTCTCGATCATGCGGTTCCGCTGCGCCACGGCGACGAAGATGCGCGTGTCCCAGAGCCCCTCGCGGCGCGGGTAACGCTCCATGATGCGGATGGCGTCCTCGCGCACGAGCGGGTCGCGGCAGTAGAGCGCCACGAGCGACAGCTGCCACGTGATGCCGCCGTCGAGCGACACGCGGTGCGCCGGCGTCGTGAAGCCGAGGTGCAGCGTCCGCAGGCTCGTCTCGAGCAGCGAGTTCATCTCGCGGCACACGGGCGTCAGCGCCTCCGCCGTGCGGTGGTCGCCGAGCTGCGGCAGCTTCGACATGAAGTGCACGATGAGGAACATGAGCCGCAGGTGCAGCGCGCGGAGGTAGCTGTCCCGGTCGGCCGTGCCCGCGAGCATGAGCCGGCGGTAGAGCGGCTGGAAGGCGCCGTCCCAGATGGTGGTGACGCGGAACACCTCGGCGCAGACGCGGTCCAGATGGGGGTGCGCCAGCAGGTCGACGATGATGCGGTCGACCTCGTCGTCGTCTTCGGACTGCAACAGGCCCGAGTCGTAGACGAGCTGCATTGTTTCCGGCGCCTTGAGGGCGCCGTGCCTCTGGGTCGCGACCCAGTACTCTTCGGCCTCGGCCACGTTGCGAAACTCGACTGGGCACGTCTCGATTTCGGCTGTGCTTTTCGGCAAGTGCAGCAGGAGCAGCGTGAACGCCTCGAATGTCTGGCCGTTCTCCTCGAGCCCCTTGTTGAGGGCCGGCAGCGAAGGCCCGCTCCCAATACGCCCATCGAGAACGCTGCGAGCCTGGTGGGCGAGGTTGGCGAACGTGTCCACGAGGTCGGCGAGGAAGGCTTTCGGGTTTGGAGCGAGGTGCGACATGTCGCCGTAGTCGCCACTCACCGTGGCGAACAGCACGGCCAAGCCATGATTGATGTGTTGCAGGGCGGACTGGCGGTCGCCCCTGATGATCTCGAAACAGATGAAGAGCACCGACAGGAAGAGTGTGTCCTGCAGAATCGTCCCCGGCGAGGCCTGCCCCTGGAGACGCAGGGCACGGCAGTAGCTGGCCACGGCGTGCTGGTAATGCGGACTCAGCGTCGTGAGAGCCTGCGTCGGACTCATGGGCTCCATCTGATGGGACATGGCGAGAGCCCCGATGGCGATGCCGGCGTGTCGGAGGGTATCATTCGTGCGCGCCAGCTGCGGCATCGTGGTCCTCCACAGCTTGGCCCCTGCCGCGGTGCCTCCGCCGATGGAGACGCGCATAAGGCTGACAAACTCGTCGAAATACAGGGCGTTGAGGTCCGTCTCGAAGTCCATCGTGTTGACGTTGGGCTCAAGCAGTCTTCTCGGAGAGAGTTGCATAAGCCGGTCTACGGGCTTGCTCACGACCGATTCTGGTGTTGGGGCTGTCGTCTCCGGCTTGGACCGCTTCTTTCTTGGCTTGATCACATAGCCCTCGCAGTAGCCGCGTGATTTGAGGCAGTTCATACAGTACGGCTTGGTCTCGTCGCATTTGACATGGCGTTTCTTGCAGGTGACGCAACCCGTACGGACCTTGGCCGTGCTCGTGCGGCTGAGTCGTTGACGTTCAGTGACAGAGGCAGCATCTTGGCTGGCGTGGTTGCTTGGTGATACTGTTGGGGAGCTTGAGCTTGAAGGAGAAGAAAGAGAGGAAAAGGTCAGTCAGTGGATTCGGCAGGATCAATTGGAGGGCTGTAATTCACTCAGAGTCATTGCCTGGCCCGGCCTTTGGTCTGCGTGGGAGGGATTCCATGAGCGGCAGTAGATGTAAGCATTAGCTAGCCATGATGTGGGCCAGATGCTCGAACAAAGAAAAGACAGGGAGACAGGCGGTATATTGACAGTAGAAAAATCGATCACGACGATGGATCACAGCCAGCTGGCGCTGTTCCCAGATTGGAGGGAGGTGAAGGTGCCTGATGATATGTTCGAAAAGGCACCGTCAAGGTGGAGGAGGCAGCTTGATTCCGTGTCAGATTCGTCTCGCCGATCACCAAAGGAGAAAGTGTGCATGAGGCAGCCGTCAGCACGATCAGGCAGACAAATGCCGTGTTGGTCCGAGTTTACCTGGCGGCCTATTCCGGACGGTGGTGGTGTGTGTGGTTGATCCTGATTCCCGTGCAGTGTGTTCCTTGGCGTGTCAGCACGACCACCCTCCACACCCCCGCGCGTCAGCCCTGGTCAATGTTGCCGAGCCGGATACTTCCGGGATTGCATGTGTCGTGCTGACATGTATGTACCGGTGCGTTATGACGCAAACGGGCTATCTCCGATGAGTCATTTCACGTGACATGACTAGGGCCGTCGCAGCCCCTCTTTTCCCGTCTCGGATGGCCCGCGGACGAGTGATCGCGCCATGGCGCTGTGCCGCTTCCCAGTCCCATTTATGCTGATAAGCCCCGACGTCAACGCCCTCGAAACATCCCCTCCTTCTCTCATCACCCCCCCCCTCCTCCTCTCATCCGTACCATCGCGTACGCAAAAGCGTTTTCGACACCGTTCGAATTGAACCGCCTCCCGGCCTCATAGAGAGGCCGCCCACACTCTGCAACAATGCCCGCTACCGGATGCTCAGCAGCAGCGGCGGTTCGCCAGACCGTCTTCTTCTACCAGCCCTCGCAGCTCGAGGTTCGCTTCGACCCCGAGTGATGCCCTTGAATGGCCCGCGGAGATCATAAGCCTCGATGACATCGCAGCCCTCGGTCTCCCGGGTCCTCAGGGGTGGCAGGGCCTGGACCCCTTTGCCGCCTGTGCCCTACCAGATGCCAACGCCGGCGCCGCGCTCTCCTCTGTCGACGGGTCCCCGAACTGGGACTTTTTGACATGGGATCCCGCGACTTCGGCGACCAGTCTTGGTGCGGACGCCACATTTCCGGACCTGGAGATCGGAGCTGGTAAGAGTCCCATGTTGTCCTTTTTTTCTGGCTCACAGACACGGTACATAATACTGGCTGAATCCCGATGCTGACGGTGACATTCAAGATTTCCTCAACTTTCCTGATTACACACCTCCCCTTCCCCCATCTATGCCCAACATTTCTCCGTCCATTCCCTCTCTCCCCTCCTATGACCTTCCTTCGGCCTCTAACAGCCCACCCTTTCACCCGCCGGCCACCCGTTCGACGTCGCACTCGCCCCCCAACACGACGCCGAGCTCCACCAGCGGCGCCCCCGCGCTGCCGTCTCACCGCCAGGACCGTGAGTCGTCCGAGGTGGCGCAGCGCCGCCAGCGCAACACCATCGCGGCGCGCAAGTACCGCCAGAAAAAGGTGGATCGGATCGAGGAGCTCGAGAAGGCGCTCGAGGAGACCGTCAGGGAGCGCGACGAGCTGCGGCTGCGGCTCGCGCGTCAGGAGGCCGAGACGAAAGCGCTCAAGAGCGTCATGCGCATGGGCAAGGAGTCGGCGTCAAATGAGGACTAAGTGTGTGTGTGTGTGTGAGAGAGAAGGATGGTTAGATGAATTGATGTTCCTCTTTTCACTTGCTTGCATCACTCCCCCCCCCCTCTCGTGTGACCTTACAGGCTCTTGCTCAGACGATGTCGGCTTGCGCGTGTCTTCAGGGACTGGGTGCATGGGTGTGCGCCCAGTAGAGGTTTGATTGTTCACATTCAGTCGCAAATGGTCATCATGGCCAGGGGTCGGTGGGGGTGGTGGAAGATGTATTGGGGGGTTCTGCCTCACCTCAAGTCGAGCTTGTGCTCAAGGCGTGTCTCGCTGTGTTACGAGTCCAGTCAGTGTTGCCATTATGGTACGGTGCGGTCGCAGTGATGCCTCGCAGGATGAAACGAGGAATTCGACATCTACAGTATGGCCAATAACTCGTTCGCCACCTCGTCTATTTGTTCTCGCCGTTTGGCGCTTCTCGTCACACAGGGGGTTGTTGTGTACAACATGAATCATGCCAGCGCATGGGGTATCACTGTGTACAACATGAATCATATCGGATCATGGACCATCATCACTAAACGACCGCATTTCCCGGCGCACCGTTGATTCAAGGTAGTCCGGAACCCCCGGGTCTTTCAAGACCAGCCCCTCCGACAATATCATTTTGAACCCTCGGCCATTCATACTCACTTCCACGTGGCTGCCATGATGCATCTCACAAGGCTGTTGTGCGCTTGTGCTGTACAAAATGACCAGATATGATTCATCGGCCATCATGAAAGGCAGCCAAGACAAGAGGATACTGTACCCTCCCAGCAGCCCAGGAACTATTGTCATCCGCGTTGCTTGACAATGGTTACATCCCCCCTTTCCGGCCGGTCTGTACATACACTCTCCAAGACGAAACCTCTCAGCCACAGATGAAACGGCCAAACGTGGCTGATGATGTGGCTAACCACAGGCACGTGCTCAACTGCGATGCGGAGATGACAGCTCACCGAAACGGGCGAACTGCGTAAAGTTTCCTGCTGCAGCACACTCAAGGGAAAACATCCGACGTCAACTCGACGCCTCTTCTGGATGTGTTCAGCAGAACGGGCCTTTGAGCGGTACTTTCTTTCTTGGCAGACATCATGTCTTCAAGTGGAGATGCGGTCTAGATACCCTCGATGCTTCAACCTCGGCGCCCCTTTGGCGGCAAGCCATCGATAATATACCCTGGGCCATCCCGAAGCGATCTGGATCTCCATCATGCGAATGCTGTCATGCCTCTCAGGAACCATCGTCGAGGGTAGATCGAGGCGTACAAAGCAGGCTCTCGCTCTTGCTGGGGGACATGCCCGATGTGTCGCCATCAAACCGTTTCTTCTGCACGTTTCCGTCGACAGCGGTGGCCAATGGCCCTCGTAGAACATGGTCCTAGAATCACTGGACGAACGGCTCGACGGCGCTCGTCCATGTTCTTTTACCTCACAGCTTGACGACATCCAGGTCACAATGCTCCGCGAATGCAGAGACACGACCTTCGTCCCGAGCCGATTGAACGATCCGATTCTGTTGGTGACGTGTTTCGCACGCCACTCGGCACCGTTTGAAGCGTGGCCTTTGCTTCCCTGGCGTATGATATTGGATGCCTCTCGTTCGGAGCAATCAAAATCAATCTATCTACCAGAAACAAGCGTTTGGGCGTCAGCCGCGTCAGCCAGCGTTTTTGGCATTGTTGCAACCTCAACAGATCGTCAGGGCTTCCCCGGATCTCCAGGTCTTGGCCCTCTCAAACGAGCAGAGCCGAGTCATGCTCATTGGGTTCTCGGATCAGAAGCCGGACACCATATATGACCTCGCCCCCTGACGGCCCTGAGCTGCCGACCTTGCGCCCTAACTTGCCAGCCATGTGCCCATCCGGAGCCCCAACGTCCGGTTCCTCATCAGCGCGATTCTGCCCCCACGTCGCCGCGGGCCTGGAACTGATCGACGGCCGTCGACGCCCCGCGCCTAAAACAGCAACCCTCCGGACCCAGACGTCACACGATACCACCCAAGCCAGGGAATGGCCGGCATAACAACCGTCGCGCGGCGCGCCCAGACTCCGAGAAGCCCCTCATGTCGCCTTTGGCGCAAATGAAAGACCTGATTTGAACCACAGATGAACCACAGATGACCGCGGATGGACCACAGATGGACCACAGAATGAGGGCGTCGCCGGCCCGAGCGGGGCCTGATTGTGATGTGCTCATCAACCGTGCCTCATGGGAACGATGGGTCCAACGACAAAGCGGGCCAGCGAAGGGACAGCACGAAGGAGGGAAAAAAAGGGGGCCTACATATAGAGGCCTGAAGATTCTCTCCTGACTTCCTTGTTGGCCTTCTTCCCTTCCTGCAGACAGAGTACAACCGATCCTTCTCTCCTCAGTCATCATGAAGTTCCTCCTCCCCGTCGTCCTCGCGGGCGGCGCCATCGCCCAGTCCGGCCCCTGGGGCCAGTGTGGTGGCTCGGGCTACAGCGGTCCGACCACCTGCGTCGCCGGCTATACGTGCACCTTCTCCAACCAGTGGTACAGCCAGTGCCTGCCCGGCGCCGCTCCTCCCCCGGCCGCTACCACGACCCGGGCCGCCACGACCACCGTCGCTCCCCCTCCGGCCGTCACCACCACGCGCGCCACGACGACCACCGCGGCGCCTCCCACGACTCCCACGAACCCCGGCAGCGCTGTGTTCAAGTGGTACGGCACCAACGAGGCCGGCGCTGAGTTCGGCGAGAGCGTCCTCCCCGGCCAGTGGGGCAAGCACTACATCTTCCCTGACACGTCGACCATCTCGGTACGTTGAGGCAATTTCTTTTACGCAGGATAGAAGGACATGCGCTGACAGACTTGACAGACCCTGCTCGGCCAGGGCTACAACACGTTCCGTGTTCAGTACAAAATGGAGCGTCTCGCGCCCAACGGCATCACGGGTGCCCTCGACGCCGCCTACCTGCGCAACCTGACCGAGGTGGTCAACTTCATCACGGGCCGTGGTGGCTACGCCGTCATCGACCCCCACAACTACGGCCGCTTCAACGGCGCCATCATCACGAGCACATCGGCGTTCAAGACGTACCACCAGAACGTCGCCAGCCAGTTCGCCTCCAACAGCCGCGTCGTCTGGGACACCAACAACGAGTACCACTCGATGGACCAGGCCCTCGTCGTCAGCCTCAACCAGGCCGCCATCGACGGCATCCGCGCCGCCGGCGCCACCCAGACTATTTTCGTCGAGGGCAACCAGTGGTCCGGCGCGTGGAGCTGGGCCGACGTCAACGACAGCATGAAGAACCTCGTCGACCCCCTCAACAAGATTGTCTACCAGATGCATCAGTACCTCGACAGCGACAGCTCCGGCACCAGCCCCAACTGCGTCTCCTCGACCATTGGCGTTGAGCGCGTCCGCTCCGCCACCAACTGGCTGCGCCAGAACGGCAAGGTCGGCATCATTGGCGAGTTTGCCGGCGGCGCCAACACGCAGTGCCGCGATGCGGTCCGCGGCCTGCTCACCTTCCTCGAGGCCAACGCCGACGTCTGGCAGGGCTACCTCTGGTGGGCCGCCGGCCCCTGGTGGGACACCTACATGTACAGCTTCGAGCCCCCCAGTGGCACTGGCTACCAGTACTACAACGCTCTGCTCAAGGAGTTCATCCCTTAGATGGACTTTGGCGAGACAGACTGAGCCTGAATCCCATTTCCTTTTCGGAGGGCTGGAACCTCGGGCATCCAGACAAATGATTGGTCCCCGCTGGGACTCACATGATGCGGAGGGGCATAGAGGGGAGGGTGCTTGTACATAGCGATGGAGGGAGCAAGCTTCAGGACCGTACATACTTGACCACGTACATACTTTGTGACGATACATAAAATTCAACTGTACATATTGCCACCATGATTTGGCCCTTCCTTTGTGATTTTGTTTGTGTCTTTCAAAGCAGAATCTGTTCTTTGACGTTGTTGGTGTCCATTGGCCCAGACCCCGAGCATCGAGTTCAAGCTCACTAAACACCAAAAGACCAGATACCAAAAGGCCGCCCCAACGCCTCGGGTGGACTTCACGGTTCGTATCGTTCATACGTGAAACAAGGTCCAATCAGCTTCGAATAAGCCGAGGTTGCATTTCGAACACCATGATGTCCCCGTTCTTATCGTGCATTCTCCATACAAGCGCCTTCTTTCGATCGCTGCGAGGTTTCCCCTCGTCGCACGTCATTCGGTGCCACCTTGATGGCCACCTCAGAGCAGCCCTCACCATGCTAACCACTTTGCGGCATGACTCGCCTTCCTGATGAGGAGCGTTCACAATTATGGAAGGAGTTTGTCTTAAAAGGCAATGAAGAGTCTTGTCAGACTGACGTCTTCGAGACGCCAATGTTCGTAGCTCATGGCATCTTGGTTGACGCATCCTACATCATGGACTTCACCCCCGAACGCCGCCTCACCATTTGTGTGTGCTCCCACAGAAGATCATTGGCGCAATCGCTTGTTCAGCATGTCTCATTGACGCCGGCCACTCAATCTTCAACTCCGTCGACAGTCTCAAATCCAGCGGTGGCGAAACCATCCGGGGACGTCGTCGTGCAGACAGGCAGCCGAGACAAGACGAAGACGGCTTTCCTCGACCCTGAGAGGCCGACTGCTTTCAAAGTGGCAGAGCGCGTGCAAGAGATACTTGAATGGCTGGCAACGAGCTGGGTTGCCAGTGAAGAACCATATACAACTTGGACAACCAACGAAAGACAGGCTGGAGGAATAGCGCTGTGAGGGTTAGGGTTATCTTATGTCTTTGGTCTTGGGGTCAACAGGCGTTTGGGTCACGATCAAACACAGAAAGGCGAGCCATGGTGTCTCTGCAGAGAAAACCAAACCATAGAGCCGTGTCCAGTATCTATTTCTTGGTACCATCAAACACAATCGACCTCAGCATCGACCGTTGTCAGCCTTTGAACCTGTCATATGCGTGCACGGACCATGCGAGGGGTTTCGCTCAGCTGAGCCTCAGCTGAATCCCTCGACCTCGGCCTCCTCTTTGATCTGGGCCGGGCTCTGCTTATGATGAGTTTTCATTTTCTGTGCTCTTCAAGATCAATGTATGCTTACTGCGCGCCCGATAGTTAAGCTCGCCCCCCCAAGTCCATGCCCGCCCCGTCGCACGCTCCACAAGGCCCGTCCCGAGGCGCGGGCCGGCCCCGCAGCCTCCGGGTGCTATCGCTCGACGGCGGCGGCGTCAAGGGCTATTCGACCCTGCTCATCCTCAAGCGCATCTTTGAAGCCTTGACACCCGAAGACGGAAAAGGCCCAGAGCCGAAGCCGTGCGATGTCTTTGATCTCATCGTCGGCACGTCGACGGGGGGCCTCATCGCCATCATGCTCGGCCGCCTCCACATGTCCATCGACGAGTGCCTGAGCGAGTACGGAAAGACGAGCGCTGTCGTGTTTGGCAACCCCATCGCCCAGAACCCCATCGGGAAGCTGTTCAAGAAAGTCGCTACCGGCTCGTTCTATGACGTGGCACTGCTGGAAGGCGCCATTCGGGATCTGCTTGTCCAGCGCGGCAAATCGGCCGATGAGTTGTTTTGGGAGGAGGATCCTCAGTGTAGAGTGTGAGTTGAACCAGAAGATACCGTGACCGGGTCTCTCCACGCCCAGCCGAGACATACTGACCTGACCACTCCAAGCATGGTCTGTGTGACGAGGAGCATCACCAGCAAGGTGGACGTGATCCGGAACTACACATCCAGGCACCCGACGCAGCAAAACTACAAGTGCGCCATCTGGGAGGCCGCCGCCGCCACCGCCGCAGCGCCCATGTTCTTCCGCTCCGTCACGCTCAAGACGGGCGAGGAATGGGTCGACGGCGCCATGCGCAGGAACAACCCGATCAACGAGGCCATGAACGAAGTCAACCGCGAGAGCGAACGCGGCTGGGAGGGCCGCGCCATCGGCTGCACCCTGAGCATCGGCACCGGCGTCGCGCAGGTCCGCGAGGTGTCCAACTCGGCGAGCGCCCTCGTCAAGAGCGTCGTCAAGATCATGACCGACTCGGAGGACGTCGCCGACGCCTTCCTCAGCAGCTCCTTTGGGCAGCAGCTCGAGCGCAGCCACCGCTACTTTCGCTTCAACGTGCCGCAGGGCCTGCAGGCGCTCAAGCTCGACGAGTGGAAGGAGACGAAGAGGATGAATGCTTTCACGATGGAGTACCTGTCCAAGTACGAGACGGGCAAGTCGGTTGTCACTTGTGCCAAGTCTCTCCTTGATCCAGACGCTGCGAGTTAGTCTTGCTTTCGAACATGTCGCGCGTCGAGTGCGGAGATCAGCCGCTGATGATTCTTGTGAGGCAGTTCCGGTTGTCACGCGCAAGTTGACTCTCCGAGGTAGTCCATGTGTGAATTTCATCGACAGGGCGGCCTACACGAATGTTCTCAAGGACTTCTTCTGGACCTACGTCGGCGAGACAAGCCAGATCTTTGTTCTATGGGGTTTAGGCGGTGTCGGGTACGCAGTCCTTTTTCCCCATCTCTGTCTCTTTTCCTTACCAATAAAACCGAATCAACCCTGTAGTCGCTACCTCTGACATCCCACTAAGGAAAACCCAGCTGGCCTTGAAGCTTGCTGACACGATGAGCCAACGAGTATCGGTCATATGGATCCGCGCAGACCAGTCGAACAATTTCAAGCTAGACTACTCCAAAGTCTTGAATCGGATGCTTCACGATGATGATCAGCCCCCCAGGCTCGAGACCATGACTGGTGCCGTTCTAGACGACCATCTCGAGCAGACTAGGGACTACCTCGAACAGTACCCTGGCGATTGGCTCCTGATACTAGATAACGCTGACGATATGACAACGTTCCGGGAGTCCATGGAGAGTTATCTCCCGATGCGAGGCAGGATCCTCGTCACCACGAGGGACCCGCGGTTCCAGGGCGATTGTGGAGCGCCAGACGATGGCATGAACGTTGTCCCCATGGACGATGAACAAAGTGTTAAACTCTTGCTAAAGCTCATACCAGCCAGGCTCCAGAAAGGCGCCGAAGACGAAAGCGCACGAGCCAGGGAACTCGTCGACCTGTTGGGCAACCTGCCCCTGGCCATCGCACAAGCGGCAGCGAACATCATTGACCAGCAAGTCTCGCTGAGCGAGTACGCGGCCGCCTTTCGCGAAGCAACCGACAAGTTCGAGGCTCTCAAGGCATCGACGCACGACCGACGGACCCGCGACCCGCGGAATGCGGTGCAGTCCGTGGCGCTGACCTGGCAGATCTCGTTCGAGCGCCTCGAGCAGTCGTCGCCGCTGTCGGTGACGCTTCTCGGGTACCTAGCCTGTCTGCACTGGGACTCGGTGCCGCGCGACCTGCTGCGGCAGTTTCCAGAGTTCGCCGGGCTCAGCGACATGGAGTTCCGCAACGTGCTCGCGCGCCTCATCCAGCTTTCGCTCGTCGAGGAGTACGCCGTGGACGACTGGCCGCAGCTGCGCATGCATCCCATGACGCACGAATACGCCTGGAAGCGCACCAGAGAAGCTCCGGCCGGGTTTATCACAGGCTGCTTCCGGCTGCTGGGCGCCCTCTTCCCGCTCGTCAGCGGCGAGGACGACAACACCTGGCAGCTCTGCTCCTATCTCGCGTCGCACGCGATGCGCGTCGTCGGCCTGGCCCAGTCCTTGGCCTTGCAGAGCGAGAGCCAGCCGGGCCTGATGCACGTCCTGGCACTCTACCTGAATGCCTTTGGCAACGTGCACGTGGCGTGCCAGATAGCCAGCGAGGCTCTCGAGATGGCCAAGCACTTTTGGCCCGATCAGCCGGCGCTCCTCAACAGTTTCCGCTGGACCAAGATTCAGTGCTTGACAAACGCCCAGCGCTTCGAGGAATCTCTCGTGGACATCGACACCTGGGCCGAGACGGCCGACCTGACCCTGGACGCAGACGCCGACGGCGCGCACTCGTCAACATCCGTCCCACGCCTGAGCGGACAGAAGCGCGCAGCACTGAACCAGAAATACTCTGCGCTCAAAGAACTGAGACGCTTCGACGAGGCGCATCTCCTCAGCAAGCAGCTCGAGCCCCCGACAGAGGGGACCGAGAACGAGTGGACGGCGATGGCGCTCATCACGAAGCACAACAGTGCGCATGCGCTCCACAGAGGAGGCCGCAGCCGCGAGGCGCGCACTGTCGTTGACGAGGTGCTCAGGAACGTCAGGGGGCCAGACGGGGAGCTGAGGGTCAACCGACGGGAGTATCTCGCCTTCCTGAACCTCAAAGCAGACCTGCTGCTGCGCGGCGGTGACGGAACGGGCGACATGAACGAGGGGCTGGCGTTGTTCAAACAGGTGTACGACGAACAAATCACAACGACGGGCGTGGTCGACTCGGACACGTGGATCGCGGCCAACAATGTGGTCAACACGCTGGCAGACGCTCCGGACGAATTTCCCGACTCGGCCCAAACGAGCGCGCGCATATTCGTGGAGATGCTGACGGCGTGTGCGGCACCGGGCATGAAGCAGCTGAGAAACCAAGATTCAGGCAAGTTTCAGAGGCACGTACGCGTGTTCCTTATTCACTTTGACGAGTTCTTCAGAACGGGGCGTGTTCCGGCCGCCGAGAGTGACAGGCTCCTTGAGCTGCGCGAGACGCTCATGAGCAAATTTCTCCTGCAGACGGACATCACTGTTTTCGTCGAGACCTTCTCGGTTCACAATACGCGTGGGGTGCACCTCCAACAGCGGGGGCGCGCTGCGGAAGCAGAGATATGCCATCGAGATGCCATGAAGGGTCTCGTCGAGTGGGGGGCCATGGGGGCTGATAGGCCGCCCGTACCGGGTATGAATACGATGAAAGACTACGAGGAAACCGTCTCGACCTACCACTACAACGTCATGCTAGCAATAGCTCGTCAAGGCCGCTTAGGGCACGCGCACGCCTACCGAGAGGAGAACATCAGGTCACTAGAGTTCGCGGAAACGTCCTGGGGGCCTTTGGACGTGAGAATGCAGACTGATGGGATGGATAAGCTCGTTCATGCGGAGGCACAGAAGCGATTGCTAGATGGGGACGTGCCGAGTGATGATCCTGAGGGCTGGTGGATGCAGCACGATGTCAATCTCTCTCGTTCCAAGATGAGGTATGGGGTTCTGAAGGTTCCGAAGGCCGGAGAGAACATGGTAGCAGTTGTTGACGACAGCGAAATCCATGATGCGAGCGTAGAAGAAGAGCGGGAACTTGACAAGCAGCAGCAACAACAACCACAACGACAACAACGACAAAGCGATCCAGTTCCACGGGAACCAGCCAAACCACAAATCGAAATATTATCAGCGAAGTCTAGTAGCAGATGGGGGAAACGGCTGAGGCTTGCGCTAAGGGAGAGGATGAAGGTCTCTTCGTCAGAGGCGGTCCCTCTAGCTAGGTAGGCCAGTGGCTATCATTGACCTAACAGATGGTAATACCTGAGTCTGGGCCTTTCACAGCTGTGACAACCAGACATTCGACACTCGGTGTTGGTCAAGTGGAATCGTCTTCATCGTGATTGAATATATCTGCAAGTCTCTTTCATGCCATGACACGGCCGGCTCAGGAGAGCGACCCGATGATACTTAGGGTTTACCGGGACAACAACTATAGACACTGAGAGTACCACTGGTTCTGCGCACGACAAGTGCTCCCGGACTGACAGCAGATCGCACCGCTCCATCCCTGGCCACCACACTGCGCCCAGCGCGCAGCACAGTTGCCCCCTCCACCAGGCGGCGGCGCAGGAGGCGTGGTAGGCGGAACTGCAGGCGGTGTCGTAGGTGGCACCGTAGGCGGAGGGAGAGGCGAGCTTCCGCCTCCGACAGCCTGAGTGAAGAAATCCCATGTCTCCGTAGCGATCCAGTTCTCGGTGCCCTGACCGCGGTGCTCGGCGACATGGTCGCCGCCGTGGGCGATCCACCAGACCGGCAAACCCTCTCGACAGCTGTATTCCGTTTTGATGTGAGCGTTGGATCCGCCAGATGGCTCAGGTGCATTCTTGGCTGCACAACCATTGAGGCGTAAGAAGCGGTCGCGGAGCTCGTGACCTCTACTGATGGGCAAGACGCTGTCAATGACCCCGTGGATACCGAGGTAGGCAACGGGCGTGGTGCCGCCGGAGCAGCCGCTCAGCTGAGCACCCGCAATGACAGAGACGGCACGCCAAATAGCTGGGTTGACCCAGACACGTCAGAGATGTGCAGCTGTCAAAAGAGGGAGCCTTCACTTACTGGGGCGTGCGCACGCAAGGGCGTTTGACATGGCGCCGCCGTAGCTGAAGCCCGTGGCGAAGCGCTGCGTTTCGTCGACGCACAAGGCATCCTGGACCTGGGCTAGGATTTGGTCGACAAATGTAATATCTGAGTCGCCGCTGTTGGCCCAGCCAGCATTCAGACCATTGGGAGCCACAAAGATGGTCGACTCCTCGGCAAGGGCCCGCAGGCCGTAGTAAGTCGGGGCCACATTGCCCATGTTACCTCCAAGCCAGTGGAAGCCAAAGACGAGCCTGTACTCTCGGTTGGCATTGTAGTTGGCAGGGACCTGCAGTATGTACTGGCGGTTGCCGATGTTCTTCGTGCCGCTTGAAGGAGGTGTCTTGCCGCATCCTAGTGTTCGCGCGAGAACGTTCTGCACGGAGGCGGCGAGGAGCAGGAGGAAGAGTGACGCAAGGGACTGCATTTCGGCGACCTTGAGAGTGACAGATCGACCCGAGTCTGAGCTACATGGAGATATCAACGGACAGGGCCCTTGGCTCAACTACCATACCAGAAGACCTCTCTTATAATGCGTCTCAACTGAGCGCTACACCTTTGCCCCCTGTGGCCTAAATCGGGAATACCGGGCTTGGTCTACGAAACGACACCGGAGCCACGGCGCCGACATGGAAATAGATCATCTTGGGGTTCGGTTCTCTGGTTCCGCGAGAGTGACGGCGTTGGCTGTATGGGTGCGCTGATGTTACGGTGATCTGGCTGCAGCGTAACAATGTTCCGTAAGAACATTGCCCAGCACTTTCATCATCAGGTTTCCCCGCATTGTCGGCAGTTGATCGAGGCATGCATGCGCGAACGACTGACCTGAATACACCCAGGACGTTGACTCGATGGCTGACTCGACGAGGCGACTTCATGTCGAGACAATTTGATCATGGCGCTGGCTGGAGATTCATCCCAACACGCGGAAGACCAGAAGTGGGCAGGTTGGTTTGAACCACAAGTTCCATTCGTGACACTTCCACATCATACTCTCGGCCCTCCGAACCCGGCAGCGAGTCGAATCTCCTTGGGTATAGTGGGCGCTTTCGGCTCAAATGCATCCACGACGTTCCCCCCGACGACATCGACAGCCCCCCATCTCTGCTCTCTTGACCGGCGCGGCCCTTGGCCTTGGTCCCACACGCCAATCTCATCTAGAAGCACCTCAATCACCCAGACAAACCTCGCGTCGCCTGGCGCGTCGCCGAATATCCTTTCGGCGTCTTCAGCGCTGCGCGGCACACGTGTACACAACAGGTGTAGATCAAGTATCTGCGCAAAGACCATACCGAAACTGGGCTTATTCCGGCGAGAGGCGGCGTTTTGGTAGCCAGCGATGGTCAGCGGCGGAGGGTTGAACACGGAGCGGAGGGTCGGGTCTAAGGGCCGGGAAGAGGGCTTGCGCGACGGTGTGTCGACCGCTGGGGCGGCTGTGCCGGGCAACGAAGGAGCGGTGGTGTTGAGGAGAAGGATGAGGGGGCTTGTTGGCAGAGTTCTCGACAGGTGGCGTAGATGGGAAGAAAGAAGATTGATGCTGTTGTGGGCGGCGGACTTATCCTGGCGTGCGAATAGCGTGGTGAGAAGAGTCGAGAAGTGGGTGATGAGGATGATGTCTGGCGCAGTCGACGATGCACGTATGGGTGCGTTCGAGGTCGCGACCCTTGAACTGTCCGTCCTGACTGCAGGCTTTTCAGCTTTCGCTGGCGAGGGGGATTTTCTGCGCAACGGGGATGGAGGGTGTACTGCAGGAGGGCTTCCTGAACCGCTTGACACGTCTTCTTTCGAAGCCATTTCGTTGCTGTGGTGGGAAGGATCTCGCAGCCTTATTGCCGGCGCATCCAAGGGGGCCAGTACTTGCAGAACCGCATCGATAGAGTCGGTTGAAGAGTTGGCTGAAGATCCGGCTAAAGACATGGGCGAGGAGGCGGCGTCGAGAGGATCATCCACAATAGTCTCCTCTTCATTCAACTCAAGACCTGTCGGCACGCTGCCCAAGCTTGATGGCGGCGGCGACGACAATGGCGAGGACGAAAGTGACGATACGAAATCTTCGTCTTCACTGTCCGCGATCTCAGTCGGTCCAAGGTTCAACTTCGGCATGACGACCCTCTCGTCCGTCTGGATCTTTTGTGTCGCTGGTGGCGGCAGCACATCTTTTTCCCTGGTTTCGATGATAGCCGTCTCCTGGACCGCCAACACGTCTTCGTTCGTCTTCTCTTTCAGCTCAGTCTCGAAGTTCGCATCTCGCCCGACTGGACTTGTGTCCTTGCCTCCACCAAGACTGGCTCCATGAACGTCGGCGGCAGCCTTGTCTCCCACAGTCTGCCGGGTCTCATCGCTGTCAACTTCATCCAACACCTCCCAGACCCCCTCCAGATCGAACACGGTCGCCACAGAGACCTTACCAAGGCACTCTCTGGTTGCGGCCCTCAGGTCGTCCCCCTGCTTCCCAACCTGCAGCAGCCTAGCCCGCACCGCATCCCGCAGCAGCGGCAGGATGCCCGCAGCCGCCAGCGTCGTCAAAATCACAGCTCTCTGGCCCCCTTCAACGAGACTCCGCGCCACAGCCTGAAACGCAAGCCGCATGCCAAAGCTCTCATCCTCGGCACTGATTCCCGTCACGCAGCCCCTCTCGAGCCCCCCGAGGAGAGCCCCCTCGTCAACTTCCCGGCATCCTGTCACGATGGCGCCCCGGCGCCGCAGAGCATCCCTACGGCAACGCTCGCGCGCCGCAAGCGAGGATGCCGAGACGGGCTCGATGGGGAAGTGGGAGCTGGCCTGCGAAGGAGGCGGGTCGTCTGCCATGTGGCGCCCTGTTGATATATCTGACGTCGCAGAATCGGGTGAGGCAAGAGAGAGTGAGAGATGGTAACTTGAAGATCCGTCAGTCCTTCATATCATTGCACCTGATGAACCAGGCACCTTGATTCGAAAGAATGAACGCGACTAATGAAGAAATGATGGCGCGTGTCGAGACCCGTGCTGGCAGGCGGTTAGACGGGGGGAGGTGCCACGAAGTCACCTGACGATGCTTGTTGAGCAGGTACCTTATCTAGGAAAGGTATTGTGGCGCACACCGTTCGCTCCTTGCATCAGCCACCGTCGAATGACGTCAGGGTTGCCTCACAATAGTGCCTACCTATTGTCATCATTGACGCCAGAGGTATCACATGCAATGGAATTGAAAATGAACCATCCTGATGGAGAACGAGATCATGATTCAACTCGCAGTATGGGCGCTAAATAAACAGCGTTGCCTTCTGAGGCTAGCTGCTTTGAAGGAAATATGAAAAGACCCACCAGGTGGATTGTTCAACCCATCTCTTCTCGTCTAAAGAATTATGTGCATACTCGAACAAGGTATCACAAAAACAAATCATAGGTAGAAACGAGGCCCGTGCATGACCTGCTTCCATCGTCGGCCTCGCTGGCGTCACGACCATCCGTTCCGGTAGGCTCGTAGAACGACCCCCCACATCAATTGTGCCATTGCGCCTCCCTGACATGCTCATCCACGTGCTCACCATGTCGAGACAAGCACCATCTCAAAGCCCGTGCTCTAAGCGGCAGTCCCGGGCGGCATGTTATCAGAGACCTGCCGGTTTCGTCGGCCGCCCTTCAGACTCTTGACTCTGGAGAGGAATCCGCCAGAAGGTTTGTCGCCGTCTTCGTTCGTGGCCCTGCGTTCGAGAGGACCTCCTTGGTCGGAGCCGCGTCGGGGCACAGGTGGCGGCGGGCTGATGGGTGACAGGGGACCGGCTGAATCCGTCCTCTTGACTGTGATGGCCTCGCCCTCCTTGCCATACTCATTGAAAAACGGGTTGCGCTCACTGCCGTACTGGCTGCCTGTGGTCGCGGGAGGCATGCCGTCAGGCGGGGAGCGCGGATAGGCAGCCTCAGGGTTGGTCATGCGACCTGAAGAGTTGAACTCGCGCGGCTGTCTTCCGTTCAGGTTGCGAATGCGGTGGGCTAGGGATTTCTTGCGCTGCATTCCGTCGTTCTTCGCCTGTTCGGCCTGCTCAGCCTCAAGCTTCTGGATTGCCGTACGGGTGGCAGGAGTGCCTTCAAGGAAGGTTGAAGTGCCCAGGCCGAGGGACTCTTCGCCGTGCAGCATCGTGGTACGCGCGCTCGGGTCAAAGACGGGCATCTCGCCGCGGGCCGATGGGTAGTTGTACCCGTACTTGTTGACACCGGTAGAGTACTCCTTGAAAGCCTCATCGGTGCCATTGCCCATGAAGGTGGCGTGGTCTGGGTTCTTGTTGAGTGGGCCGGATCCGCCAAGCGACATGTTGAGCGAGTCTTCGGGGAAAGCTTGCATGGGCGCACGGCGACTGCCCTTGCGGTTCCGGTTAGGGTTAACGGCGTCAAAAGGGCCGTCGTGATGGACTACGCCGTGGTCAGTCATGATCTGATGCGAGAAAGATGTGGAGGGCACGTGGTGACTTACATCCGCCACCAAAAAGGCTGGTGTGGTCGAGCTGGTCAATGACATCAAGCTTGCGTTGAGGCTTCTTCTCCTTGTCTTTACCTTCGCGGTGACGGCGCTCACGCTCACGGCGTCGGGCCTCGCGAGCCTTCTTCTCCTCCTCCGGCATTGGCTTTTCCAGAATTGATGATTCCGAGTTGCGACGCGGTCTCCCGGCTGGTGGGCGTCGGTGCGGGGAGTCCGTGGGGCCGGATGGTCGAGAACGATCCGGGCGGTTGCCATCACCTTGCATTCTGCGAGCTCTCAGGGCCTCTTCCTGCGACCGAGTCGGTCGGTGGCCAGGCGGTGGGACTCGGCGTCCGGGCGGCGGCATGTTCTCACGGCCGGGTGGAGGCGGGGGGCGGTTGGTCGGGCGGGCTGGGATGGGTTTCTTGTCTTCGATGGTCAAGGTGTCCTGGTCATGTCAGTCGGAGAGCAGTTTGCGGCATGTTGGCGCCAGATTGGTGGAAGCGGGACGGGCACAGTCAAGCAAATGAGCACATACGAAGAGTTCCTCCGCCGTTGGAGACGCCTTGGAATCAAATTTGGTCGACATATCGTTCAGGTCAATCAGGTTTGGCTGGCTGGAAGAGTAATTTGGGTCGAGAAATGGATTGCGCGACACAGGACGCGGAGGAGGAACGGGGTCGTCGAAGGGCGAGGTCGCTGTGGGCGTGAGTGATGGGCTTTTGTTGAATGCGCCACCAGGAGAAGCTGCCCGGTTGCGAAAGGGGTTGTTGGACGAGAGATTTAACGTTAGGCCAGCAGACCGACTAGGCTGGGAGCCTATTAAGCAGGGACGAGGTCAGCAACAGCACTGGCAATGGGCGGTTCAATGCATGTAAATGACGAGGTCGAGAGGGGACATGAAACATCATCCCTTCAACATGACACAACAGGTTCGACGACTGGGTGGAGCGCGTTGTAGTGCAGCGTTTGCTCGAGATGCTGCGCGGTCC